TGGATGGAACTGGAGAGTGTGATGCTAAGTGAAATAAGCCATACAGAGAAAGACAGACCATATGGTTTCACTCTTATGTGGATCCTGAGAAACTTAACAGGAACCCATGGGGGAGGGGAAGGAAAAAAAAAAAAGAGGTTAGAGTGGGAGAGAGCCAAAGCATAAGAGACTGTTGAGAACTGAGAGCAAACTGAGGGTTGATGGGGGGTGGGAGGGAGGAGAGGGTGGGTGATGGGTATTGAGGAGGGCACCTTTTGGGATGAGCACTGGGTGTTGTATGGAAACCAATTTGACAATAAACTTCATATATAAATAAAAAATTAATTAATTAATTAATTAATTAAAAAAAAAAATAAATACCATACCTGAAATGATAAAACTGTTGAACTGGAGAACAGATTAGTGGTTGGGAGGGGTCAGAGATGGTGGAGTGGGAAAGTGGGGGAAGCTGGGGGGATGGCTATATAAGTACTACATGAGGGATCCTTGTGGTGATAGAACTGCTCTTTACCTTGACTGTGTCAATGTCAATATATTGGTTTTTTTACACAGTATACAATAGTACAGTACAGTATATACTATATTTTATAATAATACTACAATACAGTATCACAACTAGGATTTTGACATTGATATAGTCAAGGTCAATTGTACAATAGTACAATATTACAATATTTTATTTTTTTTAATTTTTTTAATGTTTATTTATTTTTAAGACAGAGACAGAGCAAAACTGAACGGGGGTCTGAACGGGGGAGGGTCAGACAGAGAGAGAGAGACACAGAATCTGAAGCAGGCTCCAGGCTCCAAGCTGTCAGCACAGAGCCCGACGCGGGGCTCGAACTCAAGGACCGTGAGATCATGACCTGAGCCGAAGTCTGACGCTTAACCGACTGAGCCACCCAGGTGCCCCTACAATATTTTACTATAGTTTCACCATTGGAGGAACTTGGATAAATGGTTCAAGGAATATTTCTGTATTATTTCTCACAACTGTGTGTGAATACACAATTATCTCAAAATAAAAATCTTTACTTTTAAAAAAGATGAAGTGCACCTGGGTGGCTCAGTTAGTTAAGTGTTGACTCTTGGCTTCAGCTCAGGTTATGACCTCACAGTAGTGGGATCAAGCTGCACTCTGCACTGGGCTTGGTGCTGGGCATGGAACCTGCTTGAAGTTATTTCTCTCCCTCTTCCTCTACCCCCTCCTCTGCTCATATGCATGTACATGTGCTCTCTCTCTCTCTAAAAAATAAAAATTAAAAAGGTGAATTTTATTGTATATAAATTATGCTTCATTAAAATGGATTTTTAATGGTGCCTGGATGGCTCAGTCGGTTGAGTGTCCAACTCTTGATTTCGGCTCAGTTCATGATCCCAGGGTCATGGGATTGATTCCTGTGCCAGGCTCCACACTGAGCATGGAGCCTGTTTAAGATTCTCTCTCTCTCTCTCTCTCTCTCTCTCTGCCCCTCTCCCCCACTGATGCTCTCTAAAATTAAAAACAAAAATTTTTTTTAATTGGATTTTTAAAAAGCTCTCCTTTTGGTCTATAGAACACCCAGTTGTACCCTCCAGAGACCACTCAGAATTCTCCTAAAACACTGTCTTCTTTTTCCAGGCACATGACACATTAAATGGACACTCTGAACCATTATGCTCTTCCACATTTTTCTTTACATTATTTCCAGGAATCATAATCACATCTTCCCACTTCCCCTCCTGGGTCACCACATACAATTCAGGGGTTAGCACACCTCAGCTGACCTACTAACTTGGGCTCTCCAAGGACGTATATACCTACAAAAACTTAGCTCATCTGTAGTTTTATATACATTGATTTTTTTGGATTTAGGGCCCCAGATTGATTGAAGTTTACTTTCAACTCTCAAACATCCACAATGACATCAATTTTATTTTAAGACAGTGTCCCAATTTTTGCAGTTCTTTGTCAACACCCTATATTGTTTGCCCCCAAACATGACCTTATTTCTTCTTTTATTTCAAAGGAAAAAAGGGGGTGGAAGGATGAAATGTGAAAAGATAATTTAGAGATACAGTAGTAATTTTACTGTTAATTGCCAATTTTAAGGCTTTGGACTTGATATGGCTCTTAAGACTTGCATAAAAAAAGTTTTGATAAGTATTTGGGTTAAATTTGGAGGAATAACATTAGATCTCATGTTAATACAATAGCATTATGACCAAGAAAGTAATTACTCACTTGCAAGCATGTGCATTTGTTCTCCTAAAAAGCCTAGTATTTAGGTTATGAATGGGGAAAGTAAAAACCAAATAGGATTCTTTATATATTTACCTGACAGTAAAAATTTTAAATAGCATTTTGTTTCCCTGAGCAAAATGTTTTAGATGAACCTAAAGATGGTAGGCCTTATTTTCTGGAAAATACACTATGGACTTGAATATAAATCTCAGGTAGGTTATGTAACATAATTATGTTATCTTAAATACTTATAATTAAGGTGAGATCCTCTTTAATTTGCATGTACACTTATGAAAAGAGGAAAGGTTTGTGATATTTGGGGAAAATAATCTATGTTTTATTCCAAAAAGACTAATTATAAAGGAAACATATTTCAGCATTTTATACAATGAGTTGTGGATATGTTACTTTTAATTAAGATAAAAAATAAAACAAGCTACCCTAGTATTTATATTCCTTGTCTAAATTTCCTTGTCTGAAGAGACAAGAATTAAATCAAGGAAGGGATTTTATTTATGTTCAATTCACATAAACTAAAGGAAAGATATTTTATTATCCCCACTTAAGGATGAAACACAGACTCAAAGAGGTTAAGTGACTTACCAAATTCACTATAAAGTGGCAGATGGGGACTGAAAGCATATTTCTCAATCCAGAGCCATGATCGTTCTGCTTTAACAGAGATCCATGCCACACTTCTATAGCTGACCTTATGGGGACTGTTGAAGACTTCAGTTGGAGGCTATCAGATGATAAACGGTATTTGGGGAAAAGTGCCTTTGCAGTTACCGAAATGAAGCAGAAGTGGCATGTTACTGTATATTACAAATGTACAGTACATGGAACTTGCACTAATTTAACATTAGGCACAGACTTACTGAGGCCCTAGCCTCTGTCCCATTTTACTCCATTCCTGATAGGAAGGAAAGAGAGGAATTTGAACATTTTATTTGGTGAAATTTATTCTAAACAATATTTGCTTTAGAAATCACCACTGAGATAACAATTCTACAAGGATTACTAGGATGAGATGATATATATGATTAAAGTAAAGGTGGAGGCATTCTAAATATACTGTTTTTCATCTCTCTGCTTTCATTTCAGTGTATTTTTTTAAAATTTTTTTTAACGTTTATTTATTTTTGAGACAGAGAGAGACAGAGCATGAATGGGGGAGGGTCAGAGAGAGGGAGACACAGAATCTGAAACAGGCTCCAGGCTCTGAGCTGTCAGCACAGAGCCCGACGCGGGGCTCGAACTCACGGACTGCGAGATCATGACCTGAGCTGAAGTTGGCCGCTCAATGGACTGAGCCACCCAGTCATTTCAAGGTTAGTAAATACAGATTTGTGTCATGACATAGTATTTCATCTTATGAATTATTGTTGGATATTTAGTTTTAAAACTGTTTCTCTATTATAAATGACAGTTCAGTTAACATCTTTGCACCTACAACTTTAAACACTTTTTCTATTATTTCTTTAATAAATTCCCAAGAGTTAAATTCTTGGGTCAAAAGATGTATGTATTGGGGCACCTGCGTGGCTCAGTTGGTTAAGTGTCCAACCTCGGTTCAAGTCATGATCTCATGGTTCATGAGTTCGAGCCCCATGTTGGGCTCTGTGCTAACAGCTCAGAGCCTGGAGCCTGTTTCTGATTCTCTCTCTCTCTCTCTCTCTCTCTCTCTCTCTCTCTCTCTGCCCCTCCCTTGCTCACGCTCTGTCTCTCTCTGTCTCTCAAAAATAAATGTAAAAAAATTTTTTTAAAAAGATGGATGTATTATATTGTTGCTACATATCACCAATTGCCCTCCAGAAATGTTGTACCAAAGCAATAAACTTATGACTGATCTTCCTGTTTCTATTCTCTCTCTTTTCAATCAATATTACACATTCTCAAGTTAATGTTCCCAATAAGCTACTTTATTCATGTCTAACACATAAAGGTTACCCATCACCTACAAATAATCCTAAACTCTAGCACTTGATGCCTTCTGTTCTCAGGCAAGCCTATCTCTTATGATTTTATCGCTCCTACTTTTCTACATAATTTCTAGGATTTAATCAAATATGTCCACCAAACAAGCACATGTTGGAAAAGAAAGTCCTGTATTCCTTTAATGTTGGCCCCACAAACACTTTCAGTTTATTGGAATCTTCACTCATCTTTATCTATTTTATTTCTTTCTCTAAGAAAGAAATGTCCATCCTATACTCCATTCCTTATTTTAACTTAAATTTAAATATTCAAATTTAAGCATAAAGAAAAAGTCAGGTAAGTCTCTAAGTTTATTTATTTATTTTGAGAGAGAGAGCACAAGCAGGGGAAGGGCAGAGAGAGAGGAAGAGAGAGAGAATCCCAACTAGGCTCTCCACTGTCAGTGTAGAGACCCACATGGGACTCAAACCCACAAACCATGAGATCATGACCTGAGCTGAAACCAAGAGTTGGACACTCACTGACTGAGCAACCCAGGCACCCCAAAGTCATGGAAGTTAAACCAAGGAGACCACCAAAGAGGCTCCTTCAATAGTCCAGGAACAGACTGGTAAGACCCTTTCCCCCTCCTACCCACCCTTCTTCCAACTATTAGATCTCTGTTTCTAAGAGGTAGGTCTGATCACGTCACTTCCTTTTTTTCTTTTAAGCCTCCAATTGTCTGTCACTGTATACTAACGATAATCCAAACTATGAACCAAACACAGCTCTTCACATCCACTTTCAGACTCATCTGCCAGGACAGGGATACGCATGTGTCCAGAAACTCCACACTCACCTTGAACGCTCCTCCTCCCAAAGGCATCAGATGCTTTAAGGCATCTCTGCCTCTGCTTCTGTCCATCCTGCTGACATAAAGCAAAGACAATTGAAAGGCAAACCATTAGTGAGGAAGATATTTGGAAATATTTGTTACAGATATGATAATGGGTTATGATTTTTGATATACAATGAACTCAAACACATCATTAAAACACTAGAACTCCAAAAAGCAAATAAGCTAGGGATATTAACGGATTGTTCATAAGAGGGAAAATGCAGGTGGCTTATGGAATATTAATGGAATTTAAGCAAAGAACTCAAAGATTTCAAATAACTATGAGTAATTGTTTTACTCATTAAACTAATATATATATGTGTGTGTATATATATATATATATATATACACACATATATATATATATTAAAGTGATGATTATGGTAGTCCATTGTTTAATGAGACAGACACACCTAGAGTTTCCTTGAAGATATAAAAATTGCTGTAATCTTCCTGGAACATCATCTAACTAAAGCCCTAAAAATGTTCCTGTCCTTTGATCCAGAAGTTTCACTCACTCTGGTGATGTGTACTTAAAATAATCAGAGCAAGACAAACATGGTTGGCACTAAAGTGTATATCTCAAGTTATCTCAAAAGTTGCATTGAACTCAAATGGTCAAAAAAAGGGCAATGCTTAAATAAGTTGTAGTTTAACCACATAATGGAGTATTAAATACTCATTAAAATGGCCTGTATATAAGATGAATTTTTAATGATGTTGAAAATTATATAATGTGGTATGAAACACAACATATCACTGAATGAAAAAGAGAAAGGACTTTTTAATGTACATTACATATTTCAACTGTACAAATGCATACCCAGAAATATCAGTGCTGAGAATGAATTAAATGTTTGTTTTAATTCTTTTCTTTGCAATTTAAATAGTGGGCAACATATTTCCTTTAAAATTTGTGATTTTTTTTTTAATCTGTATTACACCTTTGCCTTAGAGTCTTTGACACTGTTCACTACTCTTTTTTCTATTCTCACAACCACCCTGTTTTGGTGTCTGTCACTCCTGTGGCACTTGGCAGATAAGCCAAGGAACTCATCTCTCCTGAAGATCATAAATTCCTCAAGAGCTTGAACTGCCTCTTTGCTCCGTGACGTGCTTTGAAAAACTCAAAACCATTTGCAAGATGACTAAATGCATAGACGACTAAATGACTGTGGCCTTAAACATTTCTTAGAGTTGAGTTGTGTCTCTTTGCTCTGTAAATGAGTAGGGCAGCCATTGGTTTGGAGAGCCAGGTGGATTCTGTTTTCAGAGGGCATTCATCTGGCTCACACTTCACTTCTGTCTTTTCTTTACCTCTATGCATTTGCTGATCTCTTTAGGCCATGCATGAGACTCAACTTTTCTACCTGGATGTTGCCTTATACACCGATGAAATGTGGGTTCTGGTTAGTCAAATGTTTGGGGAACCTACTTTTTAAAAAACGTACCTAGAAGCTATTGCTATAGGCACATTTCATAAACCCAGTAAATAAAGGATGTACTACTCTTATTCAGACACTTCCTTTATGAATGTCTGGGGCATATTCTTAGAGACCTTTAGAATATTCAGTCTTAAATATTCCAGATTTACTGGCACATTGATGGCATTTCCTAAATCTCTGTCCTGCTTGCATTTAAAAAAAAAAGGGGGCAGAGAGATCACATCAAAGGCTTCTGTTCATTTATTCTCAGCCACCCACAGAATTATCTAAATTACTTACGAAGATTATTTAACAAAGACATTCATCTTCTTACCAAAATTATGAGTGAATTGTGAAAGACCATTTCTCTGTAAATGAGGATGGCTTAGATTCTAGCTTTTATCCTGTGTCAGTAATACCTTCTTTCTTATCTCCAACTCTTGTTTTGCTAAGTTTAGGAATGCAGACTCTGAAGTCAAAACTTGGGTTCCAATCATGCCTCTACCACTTATTAGGTCTGTGGTCCAATGTAATCTTTTAAGTCTCCAAGACTTGAACTCCCCATCTATAAGACAGGATAGTCAGAGTACCTTCCTCATAGGGTTGTTATGAGTGTTGAATAAAATAATCTTTTTTATTTGGCAAATTTCAGTTGCTCCTAAGTTTTCAGCTATTATTTATTTAGCTGTGTAGGATAGAACAGAAATTCACAAAAAAGTACTGTGATTAACAGAAGACTTCTCCCATCTCACACATTTATTATAAATATTCCTATTTGGTCTATTGATTCTTCTTATATTTTGAGTAGTCTTGAAAAAGAAGTATTGTAGTGTGTTCAAAATGCATGTCTTGTATGTGTTATAGACATAGGCAGAAAGTAATTTCTCTGCTCCCCTTTACAGCAAAATTTCTCTCAAAGCTACACCCTTATCATCTCTCCTTCCTCACCTCCATCTCCTTTACAATCTATTCCAATCTGACTTCTGTTCCTGCCACCCTGTCGACACTGCTTTTGACAAGGCCACCAACCAGCTGGGGTGTATCAGCTCAGAAGGAAATCTGTCCTCATTCACTGCACTCCTAGCAGTATTCCACGCACTTGGCTGTTTGCTCTTTCTCAAATACTTTCCTTTTGTTTTCCTTCAAATCACACTCCCCAACATTACTGACCCCTCCTTCTTGGGCTCTTTTGCTAGTTTTGCCTCTTCATCTGACCTCCAAACGTTCGGTTGCCTCAGGACTTGGCCTGGGTCCTATTCCATTCCTTCCAAAGTAATCCATTCCAATCCCATAGCCTTAAATACCATGTATATGAGAATATCTTTCAAACTAAATCTCTGAGCCAGACATTTCTCATGAACTGAAAACTCATAAATCCACCTGCCTGCTTGATTCTTCCACTTTCAAACATACTGTATCTAGAACCCAATCACTCCAATACCCCCTGCCCCACCTTCTTCCTAACTTCAGTAAATGGCACTACTCTCCACCCAAAACACTTCTCATGCCAATTTACTTCCCCTGTGAAGAATTCTCATTTCTTTTAAAAACAGAAATGAGGTAATGGCACTTCCTTATTTTAAACTTGAATGGTAACTCATGACTAATGGAATTAAATCAAAATTTCCCACTGACTGCAGGGCCATCATTACGTGGGTCCCTCTGCCTAAGTGACAGCTCATGCCACTCTTCTCCCTTGTGGGAGATTCTCACCCTCTGCTTGAGACATACTAAGCTGTTTCTTTTCCTTGAACAGGGCAAGATTATACCTTCTTTGGGGCCTTTGCACGTGCTTTTTTCTCTGCCTAGAAGGCAGTTGCCTGGTTTCTACATGTCTAGCTCCTTCTTGTACTTTAGGCCTTGGCCTTAGTTTGCCCTCAAGTAGGACTGCCTTGACTACCTATCTTAAGTAGATACCCCCCCACACACACCCTACGTATATCATTCCATCTATTTTGGTCATGGCTCGGTCAAAACTAGTCATTATCTTATTAGATAAGCTCGGGAGCTCCATGAAGATAGTACCACGTCATGGTTCATTACCTGTTCAATGTCACATCCTGGGAGTCTGGGAGAGGGCCTACCACACAACTCTACATAAACTGGGTTTATCAAAAGCACATGCTATACTGTTCTAAGAATGGGTCTGGTACAGAGGGGACACAGGCTCTGCACTACTTGATAAACATTATAATGACTGTACAATGTGCAATGGAAACCCATAGATGGAAGAGAAGCTTAATCAAGGAAGTGATATCTGAATTCAGATGAGTATAAAAGTGCTGGGGGGGGGGGGTGGGTGGGAAGGACACTTGGGCCAAGTGAACAGCATGAACAAAGGCCTGGGGGTGTGAAAAAGACTGCCATGTTAAAATTGTTAGCTTCAACAAGTTTTCCAAAGAAAATAAAATTAATGCAGATCCATAGAACCTGGGGGAAGAAAAGTCAGGACCTAAATAAAAATCAGATGATGGAAAAAAGTTTTAAATTTAAGCAGAAAATGCAATTTCACAACTATGGCTCATTTAAGCAACTGGTAATTAAAAGCATATATAGTAACAAACACCACCTGGGTTTTGCAGGTGTGAGTAAACTTTACAAAAATATGGAGGGAGAAATAGTTTGGAATGGCCCAAAATGCAACTAAAGAAGTTTGAGGCTGTGACATCAATGCCTTGTGATCAATAATGGGAATGAACATGGTGACAGCAACAATCATCTGGCAGGATATTTTCATTTATGTCATTTCATTTCACTTGAATGTGACAAACATATAACCAGGCTCTGGGCTGGGTAGTGGGAATAAAAAAAAAAAAAAAAATCTCAGGCTTCAAAGAGATCACTATCTAATCAAAGTACATGAATAGTTGCTTTTCTAGGATTAAAAAAAAAGAAGATGCCTCTATGTAACCTCAGTTCAAATGTTGTGCAAACGATGTTTGATATGCAAATCATTGTTTAAAGTGATGCAGGTTATTTGTTCCAAAAGTCCAGATGGAAGTTTTCACTAAGCCCATTTTCTCATGGGATGTTTAATTGATTCTGCACATAAGGACAGTTCTGATGGTGAATTGTGCAGAGCAAACAAAGAAACTGGTTAGAAAATGCCAATGAGTCTTTTCATGTATATATGAGAGATATCTCTTTTAAAATTTTTTCTACATTTAAAATTAATATATGTTCCTTTTAGAAACAGTGAAAATTGAAAAAAAAATACATGTTACATACATTTTTCCTAGACATTTTTTAAAACTAAAACTAGGATCACATCATAATATGTCTGCACTTATCTTCACTGATTTGAAGGTAATATATGTTGTCATTTTGTGTTGCTGTTAGTTATCTTTAAGATTTTTAAGTTTATTTATTTTTAAAGAGACAGAGACAGCACGAGTGGGGGAGGGGCAGAGAGAGAGACTCCCAAGCAGGCTCCATGCTGCCAGCACAGAGCCCGATGCAGGACTCGAACCCATGAAGCCATGAGATCATGACCTGAGCTGAAACCAAGAGTTGGTAGTTTAACTGACTGGGCCACCCAGGCACCCCATAAGGTTTTTTTCTTTTTTAAGTTTATTTATTTATTTTGAGAGAGAGTGTGTGCGAG